TCATCCAATGAATATATGATCGTATGTGATGAGTTTTATTATGAAAGATCTTCTGATAATAGACGATGCACACAATGCAATAAATATAACACTTCTTCAGCATGGTGCTACTCTTGTGATCTTTTAAAAACATTACAAAATTGGACGAGTGGAAATAATGATATCGATGATTATATTAAAGAGCATCAACTTAAGGCTACCAGATATGAGAAAGTTATTGAGTGGATACCTTTTGATAAATTGCAAAACATACAAAGTATTTCAAATATAAAATTTTTGGCTGCTTGGATTGATGGCATACAGTTAGTTTCTAAAAAAAGTGGAGGATATATACAATCGCGTATGTCATCAAGTGCTGTTATACTTATTACTCTTACTGATTCAAAAAGACCAGTTGAATTTTTAAATAAAGTAAGTTAATATTTTAATATATTTAACATTACTAATAAAGTAATATGAATTTTTATATGTTTATTATGCTTTATTACAAGGTCGATGAATATTTACGTTCGGCTGAGAAATCTAAATTATTTGGATTTACACAAAATTCATCCAATGAATATATGATCGTATGTGATGAGTTTTATTATAAAAGATCTTCTAATAATGGACGATGCACACAATGCAATGAATATAACACTTCTCCAGTATGGTGCTACCCTTGTGATCTTTTAAAAACATTACAAGATTGGACGAGTGGAAATAATGATATCGATGATTATATTAAAGAGCATTAGCTTAAGGCTACCAGATACGAGAAAGTTATTGAGTGGATACCTTTTGATAAATTAAAAAACATACAAAGTATTTCAAATACAAAATTTTCGGCTGTTTGGATTAATGGCATACGGTTAGTTTCTGGAAAAAGTGGAGAATATATACAATCGCATATATCATCAAGTGCTGTTATGCTTATGACTTTTTTTGGTTCCCCAACAAGTTCTGAATTTTTATATAATGTAAGATTAAGCTAGCACTTTAACGTATATTATTATTATCCAATTAATAAAAGTTTTTATCATATTTATTATTCTTTATTTATAAGGTTAAGCATTATTTAAATACAAATAAACAGTGGAAATTATTTGGATTTACTCAAAATTCATCCAACGAATATATGATCATATATGATGAGTTTTATTATAAAAAATCTCGTGATAATGGACGATGCACACAATACAATGAATATAACACTTCTCCAGCATGGTGCTATACTTGTGATCCTCCAAGAACATTAGGGGAATGGACAAGCGGAAATAAGAATATCGACGATTATATTAAAAGATTTCAGTTTAGCGCCATAAGATATGATGAAATTATTGAATGGATTCCTTTTGATAAACTAAAAAATATACAGAAGATTTCAAATATAAAATTTTCATCCGTTTGGATTGATGGCATATGATTAGTTTCTGGAAAAAGTAGAGAATATATACAATCGCATAAATCATCAAGTGCTGTTATGCTTATGACTTTTTCCAATTCACAAATAAATCCTGTTAAATTTTTAAATAATGTAAGTATTCGTTAGTATTCTAATGCATATAAAAAAAATTTAATATGAATTTGAATATTTTTATTATGCTTTTTCTAAGGTTGATCATTATTTAAATTCGAACAAAAAATGTAAATTATTTGGATTTACTCAAAATTCATCTAATGAATATATGATTGTATGTGATGAGTTTTATTATAATAGATCATCTAATAATGGATGATGCTCACAATGCAATGAATATAAGATTGCTCCAGCCTGGTGTCAACCATGTGATCCTCTAATATTAATACATGGGTGGACAAGTGGCAATGATAATATTGATGATTATATTAAAAGATTTCTATTTGAAGCTATAAAATATGATGATCTCATTGAATGGATTCCTTTTGACAAATTAAAAAATATACAGAAGATTTCAAATTTAAAATCTTTAGCCGTCTGGATTGATGGTAAACGATCAGTTTCGCGAACTTATGGAAAATACATACAATCACGTATGCCATCAAGTACTGTTATACTTGAGAGTTTTCCTGGTTCACAAATAAGTCTTGCTGATTTTTTAAAGGATGTAAGTCAATATTTTTTAACATTACATAGTCTTATTAATAGTTTATATATTTATATAAATTCTATTATATTCTAAGGTGGATCAACATATACATTTGAATAATGATCGTCAATTATTTGGACTTACTTAAAATACATCTACTGACGAATATATGATAGTATTTGATTATAAAAGGTCTTTTTTTAATGGGCGATGCACACAATGTAATCAATATAACATATCTCCGGCCTGGTGTCAGCCATGTGATCCTCTAAGAACATTACAAGAGATGTCGAGTGGAAATAAGGATATTGATGATTATATTAAAACATTTCAATTGAATGCTATAAGATATGATGAGATTATTGAATGGATTCCATTCACTAAATTAGAAAACATACAGAAGATCCCAAATCAAAAATTTTTAGCCATTTGGATTGAAGGCATATGATTAGTTTCCAAACATGATGGAGAATACATACAATCTCGTCTATCATCAAGTGGTGTTACACTTATGACTTTTCCCGGCTCACGAATAAGTTTTAAATTTTTAAAGGATGTAAGTTAATATTTTAATGCACATAACCTTATTAACAAATTATTTATTTAAATAATTTCTATTATATTTATTTTTAAGGTTGAAAAATATATACAGCCAAATAATGGTTGTAAAATATTTGGATTTACTCAAAATACATCCAATGAATATATGATAGTATTTGATGAATTTTATTATGAAAGGTCTTCTGATAATGGGCAATGTGCACAATGTAAGAATTATAACACTTCTTCAAGTTGGTGTCAAACGTGCGATCCTCTAAGAACAACACAAGGTTGGGCGAGCGGAAATGATGATATCGATAATTGTATTAAAGAAGTTCAACTTAAAGTTATCAAATATGAAGAAGTTATTGAGTGGATACCCTTTGATAAATTAGAACATGTTCAGAAGATTAGTGAAGAGGGTTTGTGTTCCAAATTTTCAGCAGTCTGGATTGATGGCATGCGATTAAAGGATAGTGGAACACATACATCACCGTATACGGTTGTACTCAAGACTTTGCAAAGTTCACAAATATGTTTTGTTAATTTATTAAAGGAAGTAAGTTTAATTATTATTTTAGTGCATATATTATTGTTACTCTAGTATATATTTACATAAATTATTTTTAAGCTTAATCAAAATGCATGTTCAAATAATGATTGTAAATTACTTGGGCTTACTCGAAACACATTCACCAATGATTATATGACTGTATTTGATGAGTTTTATAACAGAACATTTGACAATGGACAATGCACATCTTGCAACCGATATAATACATCCCCGGCCTGGTGTCGAACATGTGATCCCGTAAAAACATTACAGATGTCGATAAGCGGAAATGAAGCCATTGATGAATATATAAAAAAGCTTCAACTTGAAGCCACCAAATACGAGGACGTTATTGAATGGGTTCCTTTTTATAGGTTGGACATTAGTGGGAAGAAGTCTGATTCAGAATTTTTAGCAGTTTGGCTAGATGGAGTACGAACAGTCTCACGCACTAAAACGGGATGCATACAATCACGTACACCATCTTATTTGGTAGCACTTAAGACTTTTCCTGATTCACAATTTGATTCTGTTGACTTTATAAAAGTAAGTTGTAAATAATTAATTTTAGTAAATATCTTACGAAAAACTCAATATTAAAAATAATTCTTTAAAGTTTGAAAATTACATGCAGCTAAAAAGAAATGAAATCAAAGTATATGGAATAACACAGAATTCAACCACTAAAGATTATATGATATTATATGAATTATTTAAAAGAAATTCTAATTATGGAGAATGTACGGATTGCAAGCGCATTAATACTTCAAAGGCATGGTGTCAATCATGTGATCCTAAGAAAGCGGCCGAAGGGTGGACAAGTGGGAATAAGGATATTGATAGTTGTATTAAAGAGATTCAATTTGAAGCTACAGAATATGATAAAGTAATTGAATGGATTCCTTTTGACCGGTTGGGTAGTGTTAAAGAGATTGCTAAGGGGGGATTCGGATATGTATTTTCGGCAACCTGGTTAGACGGCAAACGAAAAATTATTTATGATAGAGAGAAATATAAACAGTCACGTACAGAATCAAGTTTAGTAGCTCTCAAAACTTTATCAGATTTTCAAACAAGTTCTGTTGATTTTTTACAAGAAGTAAGCTATTTATTAATTGTTAACAATTTATAAAATATAAAGCATTTACGCATTTAATTTTTTTTAAAAAAGTTTAAAAATCATATGAAATGTAGATTAACAGGTAGTAGACTTGAGATATATGGGCTAACTCAAAACATTGATACAAACCAATATTTAATGGTATTTCAGTATGCAAATAATGGAAACCTTCGTCATTATTTAAGAATAAATTTTAAAAATCTTATATGGAAAGATAAATTATCGCAACTGATTGACATATCAAAAGATTTAATTCAAATTCATGAAGCAGAATACATTCATTGTGATTTTCATAGTGGTAATATTTTACTGCATAAAGAGAAATCATGGCTTGAAACAAAAATAAAAACTTATATTGCAGATTTGGGATTGTCTCAAAATAATAAAGAATCTACTTCGAAAAAGGGAATTTGTGGAGTTATGCCTTATATAGCACCAGAAATTTTGTTAGGTAAACAGTATACACAAGTAGCTGATATATATGGTTTTGGGGTAGTTATGGCAGAAATAACTACTGGAATCCCACCATTTGATGGTTATTTATTTAATAATGATTTAGCGATAAAAATTTGTGGTGGACTCAGACCAGAATTTGCATCAGGAACACCCGATTGCTACATCCAATTGGCACAATTATGCATGAGTCTAGATCCACACAAACGGCCTACAGCAAAAAGTCTTTTTGATAAATTCAAAGAATGGTATGACATTTTGAATGAACAGGATGAGGTTGATCAGGATGAAGTTGATCAACTTGAAGCGTTTTATGAATCTGATGAACTTGATGAGAAATCAGAGATAAGTAATAAATTTTGGGAAGCTGATGATATAATTCAACAACAACCGATAGCTGCACAAAAAAATTCAGATATTGTATATACAAGTCAGCTTATTGATGTTAAGGAAATTTCTAAAAGAGTTAGTGCAGAAATTGAGTCAGGTAACATAGTAGGTATGTATGAACACGAAAATTCAAAATTTTATAAAGATTTATACTTATATTTATCATTTATGCTATAGATTCGGAGCTTATTGATATATATTTGAGTGATATTAAGACAACAGAAACTGATTAAAGTCTTGAACACACTTTTATTATAAAAGTTTTATTTAATGTAAAATAAAAAAATTAAATTGCCTATTCGTATTAATATTTGTTATGCGTTTTATATATACTCCTCTTATTGATTTTTATAAAAAAAGAGGTTATTATTTAGCATAGGTTTATCCAAAATATTAATAACTTGTTAAATTTAAAAATTATATATCAGAATATAATAAACAACTGTAAAATTTTTCAGAGCTTTACAGCTGTTCTCAAATTTTCGAACATTAGGATCGAATGATTAGCCCACGTAAAGTTGATTTTTCGTTTTACATTACACGGTATTCAAAATTTCGGGTGGGCGGCAGTTTTATTATTATTATTATTTCATTATTCCGTCAGCACTATCGGGTAATTCGGGAAAATGGGTCTTAGTCGGGTGATACCAGATTAATTTCTGGAAAAAAATTAAATGGCAAAAATAGAATAATTGACACAATCGGAATCAGAATTTACAGCTATTTTCATAATACTTCGAACACTTGATAAAAATTGACCGGCTAAGTTATTGATTTCTGTATGATCAGGTACTTACGTATATAGATTACACATTATAATTTGATATATGAGTGCTGTCAAGAGAAACCTATTATCTGGCTTTCAATTGTATTTTGTGTCGGACTCAGCCTATTTGATTTATTATTAATTGCGTCCGGTACAAGATAAAATTGAAAGCCCTATGACAGATTTTTCCTTGACAGCACTAACATATGTTTTATACAACTAAGCATGTTGGGCAAATATTCAAATGAAAGTATAATAATATTGAACGTGTCGACATTTATAATGTCAGAATTATCTGCAATTTTTACGTGTAAGTTTCTGATATATAATTTTTGCGTGAAATAACGTTGGCCAAAACTTTCATAGTGCTGGCAAAACTTTTGCAATGCAGGTGAAATAATCTACCCTGGTCAAATCGCTACTCAAATTTTTTCAAGCAAAAATTTTACTTATTAGATTAGGGACAGTAATTTGTTATTAAGTTTGGACTTGAAAGTATTTTTATGCTAAAATTTTGCATAGAACGATTTTGTTTGATTTGAATTTTCCCGATCGTGTTACGTTACACCTTATCTTGAAATTTGATTGGCTAGTTAGGATAAGTGAAAAAATTTTAGGTGGGATTTAACCTCTGTTCAATAGTTATGCGCCAGTGCACTTGTTAATGTAAAAGTTACGTACGCACGTACGTGCATATGTACAATATTGTATCTTTTATTGTATATATTGTGCCGAAATCACTAACTTAATCGAATCGGTCAGATCAACATTTGGTCAATTTTAACCAGGTGTTCCAGGAATTATGAAAATATCTGTAAACCAAAAAAATTTTTTTTGAAAAATGGGTCGGCAGGTAATGCAAAACGAAAAATCAACTTTGCGTGGCCTTATTTGGCGATTCGATAAGTTCGGTAATGAGCGATTACGCAATAATATGTATGTTGTGCGTCAAATTAAAATTTGCGTCATGTCAAAATTTAAATATAGAGTTTCATTAGGGTTAGGCTGAAAAGCTTATGTTAGGGTGAGGGTAGGAACCACCCTAGCGTAGCCAAAAAATCAATTACGTTCCGGAATTTAAAATTAATCATCGGTACTCAATAACTCAAATAGTAATACAAATAATAAATATATATATTGCAATAAAGCAATATATAAATTGCTATACATACATATATTTTATATATGTATTTTCTTTTTTTATTAACGCTATATCCATTAATTTATGCTATAATAAAAATAAAAATTTTCGAAAAAGTATTAAAACTATACACAAGGATTAGAAGGAATTAGCGCAACAGTATGTTAATCAGTAGATTTAGCCTGTTGGGACGACAATCAAATCTTTAGTTTGGTGTTTGTGAGTGGCCTCTCGGGACGACAGTCACAAAGAAAATTAAATAATCTTTACGTAGCTGCAGGTATTACGCTCGAGTAGGTATGATCTGATGAGTAGAGCGTAATATTCATCTGCACATTTATCGATGCTTTTAAATTCTGCGTTATATTTGGATGTTGACACAAAGCAGGAGAGACAGATTACCCATAATTATTTTTCGTAGTCTTTTTAGAACACCTCCTCGATGAGGGACAAAAAATATGATTAATACATTCTTTTGCGTGTATTTATTAGTTTGTAAGCTTCTTTATGTGAAGTTTTTTTTTCTTTTTCTTATACTGTAATATTAATAATATTATGTATTTTGATTGGCTAATTGTCATGGGAAATCACAGGTAGATCTACCAAAATTAGCCAATCATATGAATGCGCATATCATAATAACATGTGCAGTAATAAGCACGAAATATTTCAGGTTATATGGACGGATTCAGAGATGGGGCGAATGCGACGGATTGTCGCTAGAAAAATGGTTATGCCGCGTAACGTTCCTCAAAGATAATAGAGGCAGTTTTTCGATTTGGCACAAAGTAGAGGCGATCGATGAGGAGCGTTATAAGATAAGTATATGATTTTTAAAAGAGCGTTGATTTATTTTATACGTTAAAAGGGCTTTATTAACTTTATTTTTATTTGTAGGGGTAATATAATTATAGGACTGTATTATTATACTAATCTGGGCGGTTCTGAACTCTACTGAACTCTTGGACGATACTTTGATACTGGAGGGAGGAAAATTCCACCTCTTTTTATAATGAATTGAATGCGAGAATAGCCCGCGCAAGACCACGACTCTTCTCATTATTCCCAACACTTCCCAACCTTATTTGTTATAACCTTTAACCCCCTTCCACACAGCCTTTCGTTACTTTAACATTTCTCACGGCTTTCATAGAACCGATGAGAGATGTTTCAGTTTCAATATCCCGGGGCCAGAACCCATCATATTGTCTTCAATCGCACCCCCTTTTAGATCGCCTCACACCTAACCCAAGTAAGGTAGGTGGAGTCAACGTCCATTCCCAGCGCAACAGGTTGGTCCAGGTCGACCTTACTTTAATTGGAGGGGGTGGTGGGGTCCCGCATGGAGGCTTGTGTACTTTCATATGGCTTCTTTGGGGCCGGGCGCACATGTTTCAGATGGATCGTCATGGGCACCTCTAATTATGTAAGTATGCCACAATGACGTCCATTTCGCAGGTGTCGGTTTTACCTCTGACAATGCGCATGATATCGCATGATTTCGCAACCAAGCGCACACATGAAACCCATCTCTAGTTGAACCATATTAACATATTGAATAAAAAAGTTGTTCCTAGTAATAGTGAAACTAAATATTTGCGAAGAGCAAACCGCTTACTGTAATTTAAAAATTTATTGTCGTTAATTAAATCTAAAATCAATTCTACATATTGAACCATCGGAACTATAAATTCGATTGAGTTTAAACCGTAACTAATTTTTTTGGGCGACGTTGGTTCATGTGAGGGTAGGCATCGGCGGATTATTGTTATTTTAATTTGACGAGATATTCACTGTGTTATTATCAACAGCAGAGACCGTTAATGTTACACATATTAAAACTGGTGAGGGATTATATCCATCACAATTGAATCCAACATTAATACAAGTGAGAGGGATTCACTTTGGATCGGGCACTGTCTCTGCTGTAGTTATTATCAACTTTATATTAAAATTTGATCGCACATAGATTTCAAAACTTGCAAAGAAAGAATAAAGATAATAATTGGAACTTTTAAATAAATTAATACAATATATAAATGTTTACTTTTATTTTATGACTATAATTCTCAACACAGCTTTGACAAATATTAATAAAATTCTGGTTGTTTGAAATTACAACTTGAGTTATATTTTCTTTAATCAAGTCAATAAATTCTTGATTATATCGAGCTTTTTTTTTATTAGCGCCTACCTGTGTAATATATTTATTATGAAAGCTAATTCTATATTTAGAACTTTCTATAGCTCAATGAAGTTTGATCCAAATTTAATAATTATACTATATTAGAATCAGCAAACCCTGCTTTGAAAATTTACTTAAAGTCTAAAGTCATTTAGTAATTTTTTTTAAATACAAAATAAAAAAATTTACAATTAAAATCATATGATGATTTATGTGTACTCTATCGATATAGTGATAGCAAGTCCAGTATGTGTGACAGGTTAGTGCCAGACTACCAATCAGATTTGAAGAGCAGATGTAACGTAACATGATCAAAATAAGTTTTCTTTAACGTTAAACGATTTTAATATATCGATATGTCTAACCTTAATACAAACACTAAACATTATGCATAACCTGTCCACATTCCTGGATGATCGGTCAATAAAATAGGGGTAAAAATGCAAATTGTTAATTAAATAACTTCATTAATTTTAGTAATGAATTTATCTTCAGCATATAATTATGCCTTGTCAAAAATAAATATATGTATAATATGCAAGAAACATAACACCTCTCCTGCTTGGTGTCAAAGTTGCAATTCACCAAGATTAATACAAGGGTGGACGAGTGGAAATAAAGATATAGATGATTATATTAAAGAGCGTCAGCTTAAGGCTACCAAGTATGAAGAAGTTATTGAGTGGATACCTTTTGATAAATTGCAAAACATACAAAGTATTCCAAATATAAAATTTTCGGCCGCTTGGATTGATGGCATACGGTTGGTTTCTAAAAAAAGTAGAAGATATATACAATCGCGCATACCATTAAGTATTGTTACTCTTACGACTTTTCCTAGTTCACAAACAAGTTCCATCGATTTTTTAACTGATGTATGTTAGTATTTTAATGTATAGCTTTATTAACTAATTATATATTTACATAAATTTATTATGCTTTATTACAAGGTCGATGAATATTTATATTCGGCTAAAAAATGTAAATTATTTGGATTTACTCAAAATTCATCCAATGAATATATGATCGTATATGATGAGTTTTATTATGAAAGATCTTCTAATAATAGACGATGCACACAGTGCAATAAATATAATACTTCTCCTGCTTGGTGCCGACAATGTGATCCTCTAAGAACATTGCAAGAGTGGACGAGTGGAAATAAGGATATCGATGATTACATTAAAAGACGTCAATCTGGAGCTGTGAAATATGATGAAGCTATTGAATGGATTCCATTTTGTAAATTAAACATTGAGCATAAGATCTCAAATATAAAATTTTCAGCTGTTTGGATTAATGGCATACGATTAATTTCTGGAAATCCTGGAGAATATGTAAAATCACGTAGGCCATCAAGTACTGTTATGCTTATAGCTTTTTCTCGTTCACAAACAGGTTTTGAATTTTTAGATCAAGTAAGTTTAAGCTAACACTTTAACATATATTATTATTCAATTAATATATATTTATTATTCTTTATTTCTAAGGTTGATCAATATAAAAGTTCGAATAAACAATGTAAATTATTTGGATTTACTCAAAATTCATCCGATGAATATATGATCGTATGTGATGAGTTTTATTGTAAAAGATCTTCTGACAATGGTCGATGCACACAATGCAATGAATATAACACTTCTCCAGCATGGTGCTACCTTTGTGATTCTCTAAAAACATTGCAAGACTGGACAAGTAGAAATAATGATATTGATGATTATATTATAAAATATCAATTTAGAAATTTAAGAAATGTAGGATATGATAGAACTATTGAATGGGTTCCTTTTTGTAAATTACAACATATACAGAATATTTCAGATAGAAGATGTTCAGCAGTTTGGATTGATGGCATACAATTAGTTTCTGGAAGCCCTGGGAAATATAGACAATCGCGTAAACCATCAAGTGTTATTACACTTATGACTTTTCCCGGTTCACAAATAAGTCTTGTTGAATTTTTAAAGAATGTAAGTATTCGTTATTATTCTAATGTATATGTCGCATCTGAAGTAGTGATTTATTTGAAGTAGCGTCTGACTAAAATTAAGCCTCTGAAATTAGATCTTTATGCATGCATTAGATTTTAATTTTAGCCAGGGCACTACTTTAGATATATAAAGTGGCCACTTTAGATAAATCGCTACTTGAGATGCGACATATATAAAAAATTTGATATAAATTTTAATATGTATGCTTTATTATAAGGTCGATGTATATTTACGTTCTTCTAAAAGATGTAAGTTATTCGGACTTACACAAAATTCGTCTAATGAATATATGATCGTGTGTGATGAGCTTTATTATAAAAGATCTTCTAATAATGGTCGATGCACACAATGCAATGAATATAACACTTCTCCAGCATGGTGCTACCCTTGTGATTCTCTAAGAGCATTGCAAGAGTGGATGAGTGGAAATAATGATATTGACGATTATATTATAAAATATCAATTTAGGGATTTAAAAAATGTTATAGAATATGATGAAACTATTGAATGGGTTCCTTTTTGTAAATTACAAAATATACAGAATATTTTAAATAAAAGGTATTCGGCAGTTTGGATTGATGGCATACGATTGGTTTCTGGAAGCCCTGGGAAATATAGACAATCGCGTAAACTATCAAGTTTTATTACACTTATGACTTTTCCCGGTTCACAAATAAGTCCTGTTGAATTTTTAATAAATGTAAGTATTCGTTAGTATTCTAATGTATATAAAAATTTTGATATAAATATTAATATGTTTATTATACTTTATTACAAGGTTGATGAATATTTATATTCTCATTCAAAATGCAAGTTATTGGGACTTACACAAAATTCATCCAATGAATATATGATCGTATGTGATGAGTTTTATTATGAAAGATCTTCTGATAATAGACGATGCACACAATGCAATAAATATAACACTTCTTCAGCATGGTGCTACTCTTGTGATCTTTTAAAAACATTACAAAATTGGACGAGTGGAAATAATGATATCGATGATTATATTAAAGAGCATCAACTTAAGGCTACCAGATATGAGAAAGTTATTGAGTGGATACCTTTTGATAAATTGCGAAGCATACAAAGTATTTCAAATATAAAATTTTCGGCCGTTTGGATTGATGGCATACGGTTAGTTTCTAAAAAAAGTGTAAGATATATACAATCGCGCATACTGTCAAGTGTTGTTATGCTTATGACTCTTACTGATTCAAAAAGTCCTGCTAAATTTTTAAACGATGTAGGTTAATATTTAATATATTTAACATTACTAATAAAGTAATATAAATTTTAATATTTTTTTTTATCATGTTTTATTTCAAGGTCGATGAATATTTACGTTCGGCTAAAAAATCTAAATTATTTGGATTTACTCAAAATCCATCTAATGAATATATGATCGTATGTGATGAGTTTGATTATAACAGATCTTCTAATAATGGTCGATGCACACAATGCAATGAATTTAATACTTCTCCAGCATGGTGCTGCCCTTGTGATCCTTTAAAAGCGGTACAAGAGTGGACGAGTGGAAACAAGGATGTAGATAGTTATATTAAAAAGCTTCAACTAGATGCTACCAAATATGATGATCTCATTGAATGGATTCCTTTTGGCAAATTCAAAAATATACAGAAGATTTCAAATTTAAAATCTTTAGCCGTTTGGATTGATGGCGTACGATTAGTTTCAGTAAATTGTGGAGAATATATACAATCATGTATACCATCAAGTACTGTTATACTTATAACTTTTCCTGGTTCACAAATAAGTCCTGTTGATTTTTTAAAGGATGTAAGTTAATATTTTTAACATTACAGGGCCTTATTAATAATTTATATATTTATATAAATTCTATCTTATTCTAAGGTTGATCAATATGTACGTTCGAATAACGATTGTAAATTATTTGGACTTACTCAAAATACATCTACTGATGAATATATGATAGTATTTGATTATGAAAGGTCTTTTGTTAATGGGCGATGCACACAATGTAATAAATATAACATTGCTCCAGCCTGGTGTCAGCCATGTGATCCTCTAAGAGCATTACAAGAGTTGTCGAGTGGAAATAAGGATATTGATGATTATATTAAAACGTTTCAATTGAATGCTATAAGATATGATGAGATTATTGAATGGATTCCATTCACTAAATTAGAAAACATACAGAAGATCCCAAACCAAAAGTTTTTAGCCATTTGGATTGAAGGCATACGATTAGTTTCCAAACATGATGGAAAATACATACAATCACGTATATCATCAAGTGGTGTTACACTTATGACTTTTTTTGGCTCACGGATAAGTTTTGAATTTTTAAAGGATGTAAGTTAATCTTTTAATACACATAGCCTTACTAACAAATTATATATTTAAATACTTTCTATTATACTTATTCTTAAGGTTAAAAAATATATACAGTTAAATAATGGTTGTAAAATATTTGGATTTACTCGAAATACATCCAATGAATATATGATAGTATTTGATGAATTTTATTACAAAAGATCATCTTATAATGGGAAATGCACACAATGTAAAAATTATAACACTTCTTCAGCGTGGTGGCAAACGTGCGATCCCCTAAGAACAACAATACAAAGTTGGACAAGCGGAAATGATGACGTTGATAATTGTATCAAAGAACTTCAGCTTGAAGCCACCAGATATGAAGATGTTATTGAGTGGATACCTTTTGATAAATTAAAATATATACAGAAAATTAGAGAAGAAGATATATGTTCAAACTTTTTAGCAGTCTGGATAAATGGCATACGATTAAAAGATGATAGAAAACGTACATCACCCTATATAGTTGTACTCAAGACTCTGCATATTTCACAAATATGTTCTGTTAATTTTTCAAAGGAAGTAAGTTCAATTAGTATTTTAGTTCATTTAATATTATTTTAGTGCATTTAATATTGTTAATCTATCATATATGCTTACATAAATTATTTATTTTAAGTTTAATCAAAATGCATCAAATAGTTCTAAGTTACTTGGACTTACTCAAAACACATTCACCAATGAATATATGATTGTACTTGATGAATTTTATAGCAGAACATATGATAATGGGCAATGCCCATACTGTAGCCAATATAATACATCTCCAGCCTGGTGTCGAACATGTGATCCCGTAAAAACATTACAGATGTCGATAAGCGGAAATGATGCCATTGATGAATATATAAAAAAACTTCGACTTGAGGCCACAAAATATGAGGAGGTTATTGAATGGATTCCTTTTAATAGATTGGATATTAGTGTGAAAAAATCTGATTCAGATCTTCTAGCGATTTGGCTGGATGGAGTGCGAACCATTTCGCGAATTGGTGAAAGGTGCACACAATCACGCACACCATCATATTTGGTAACACTTAAGACCTTTCCTGATACACAATTTGATTCAGCTGACTTTTTAAAAGAAGTAAGTTTATATAACTATTTTTAATATTGGGTTTTTCGTAGAATATTTGCTAAAATTAATTATTATAAGGTTGAAAATTACATGCGATTAAAAAGACATGAAATCAAAATATATGGGATAACACGGAATTCAACCACTAATGATTATATGATAGTATATGAATTATTTAGAAGAAGTTCTAATTATGGAGAATGTTCGGATTGCAAGCGCACTAATACTTCAAAGGCATGGTGTCAATCATGTGATCCTAAGAAAGCGGCCGAAGGGTGGACAAGTGGGAATAGGGATATTGATAGCTGTATTAAAGAGATTCAATTTGAAGCTACAGAATATGATAAAGTAATTGAATGGATTCCTTTTCACAGACTGAATAATGTTATAGAGATTGCTAAGGGCGGATTTGGATATGTATTTTCAGCAACTTGGTTAGACGGTAAACGAAAAATTATTTATGACGATGAGAAATATAGACAGTCACGTTCGGAATCAAGTTTAGTAGCTCTTAAAACTTTACCGGGTTCTCAAACAAGTTCAACTGATTTTTTACGAGAAGTAAGCTATTTCATTAATGATTAACTTATCAGATATAAAGTATTTATATAAATAATTTTTTTTTATTTAAAAAGTTTAAAAATCATGCGAAATGCAGATTAACAGGCAGTAGACTTGAGATATATGGGTTAACTCAAAACATTGATACAAACCAATATTTAATGGTATTTCAGTATGCAAATAGTGGGAACCTTCGTTATTATTTAAGAATAAATTTTAAAAACCTTATATGGAAAGATAAATTATCTCAATTAATTGACATATCAAAAGATTTAATTCAAATTCATGAAGCAGGATATATCCATTGTGATTTTCATAGTGGTAATATTTTGCTGCATAAAGAGAAATCATGGATTGAAACAATAAAAACTTATATAGCAGATTTGGGATTGTCTCGAAATAATAAAGAATCAACTTTGAAAAACGGAATTTGTGGAGTTATGCCTTATATAGCACCAGAAATTTTATTAGGTAAACAGTATACACAAGCAGCTGATATATATGGTTTTGGGGTAGTAATGGCAGAAATAACTACCGGAATTCCACCATTTGATGGTTATTTATTTAATAATGATTTAGCGATAAAAATTTGCGGTGGACTCAGACCAGAATTTGCACAAGGAACACCCGATTGCTACATCCAATTGGCAAAATTATGTATGAGTCTAAATCCTCACAAACGGCCTACAGCAAAAAGCCTTTTTGATAAATTCAAAAAATGGTATGACATTTTGGATGAACAGGATGATGTTGATCAGGATGAAGCTGATGAACTTGATATGCTTTATGAATCTGACGAACTTGATGAGAAATTAGAGATAAGTAATAAATTTTGGGAAGCTGATCACATCATTCAACAACAACCGATTACTACACAAAAAAATTTAGATATTGCATATACAAGTCATCTTATTGATGTTAATGAAATTTCTAAACAATTCAGTGCAGAAATTGAGTCAGGTAATATAGTAGGTATGTATCATGAAAAAAATTTTAAAATTTTATCAAATATTTATTAAGGATTGTTTTAATTTTCAATTATCATTTATATTTTAGATCCAGAGCTCATTAGCATGTATTTGAGTAATATTATGTAAATTAGAAAGAGTATACATGGGTTTCTAAATTATTTTCAATAATAATTTATTTTGGCATTTAATCTGTCGAATTGATTCTTCTTAATGGCGAAATTTAATATAATGGTCTTCGAAATTTTTGGTGAAATTATCTGAATTCTCTGTCAAAATGCATTAGTAGTATGGCTACTTTGAATTGATATTAAAAAAAAACTAAAAATATCTAAATGTTTGTTGAAATTTATCTGACGTAAAATAAATTATGTTGGCCGTGAATATTCGTATTAATACTTTTTGCTATGCGATTATATGCGTGATAGATAATATACAAACTAGGATTAACGTTAATTAAACATATATTACATTTTAATTGAATAAAAAGTTTTCTAAAAATTCTTTAGTTTAAAATATAAGCAAGTCAAGGAAAACTTCACAGAGAAGATACAGATTAAGTTTTAAAATTTTATATAGATCGATTATTATAAAAAATTAACAAATTTCAAATTGTATCAATTACTCAACAGAATATATATGTTAAACTGGGGTTTTTTTATTAATTTAAAATTTTTATTGTCCAGAGTAGAGATCTTTACAAGTGAAAATATGTATATGTTATTGTCCACTTGTGGATAATAACCAGGGTGTTCCGTTCATTTCACCGACAGTACAGTCAGTTCACCGACAAAGCAATTCTGGTCATTGCCGTTAGGGTCAGTTTAGAATTAGAGTTAAGTTTAGTGTAATTTATAAAAAAAAAACTTGTTAGCAAAGTATTGTCAGTGAAGTATTGTCAGTGAATTGACTGTCGGTGAATCATACCGATACGGTGGACTGATTTTCGGTGAAATGAACCGAAACCCTCCTATCAATCATACATTATAATGACTATTTCATGTACATTAGTTATAGAGGTTGGATCCGGTTAATAAAATTCGAGTATAAATTCGGGTTAACCCGATTTAATATTATAGCTGTTTGTTCTCATAAATTCTGGGACAACTGATAACAATTGATCGGCCGAATTTGATAAGTTTTGAATTCGGTGGTATCGGATTACTGTAATGCGAAAATTCAATTAATAACCAATTTAAAAATTACCTGGCTTTAGACGACCTCCGAATTTGGCGATCTGAATTTATGAGAACGGCTAACAAACTGGGTTTTAAAACTTAAATCCGGTTTACTTTATCCAAATTTCGAGCACACTGTAAAGTATTCTATTTTCATAAAATTGATTTAGTCAATGTATAAATCAAATATCATATAAGATAATAAGATATTTAATATTTCAGATTATGCGGGGCAGTCTCAATCAAAACGAGGTACGACGAATTGTTACACGAAATAGTGTTATGTAATTGCACGTGGGTGTCACCATTTTTATTAATTATTAATAACGGTAAGTTTATTTAAAAGTGACGAAGCTCATGTTACAATTAGACATGACACTATTTTGAGCAATAATTTGTCGGACCTATATTTTAATAAATATTATGTATAAGCTCTATTGTCAAAAATGAATCTTCTTGAACAAAAATAAACCAATATAATTGTCGTTTGTCATATCATGCAGGTTGCATTGACGTTAATAATAAAGATAAGAATAAAACAGATAATAAATGTAGTATTAGATACAGTATAATGTTCGTAATGAAAATAATTTATTATTTTAGTGGGCTATCTACATAAACATGTTTTAAGACTTAAGTATGAGGTTTAAAAATAATATTAAGATAAAAATACAATAACGAAAATAATCATTAAAAGAGTTCCAGAAGGAAAGACTTTATAAGAATTACTTACGTTTTGAGATAAAGCACGAGGATTAAGAGAACCTTGATAAACAGAAACAGGCTGTTTATCAGCAGTAGTAGAATTAATAAATTCAAAGCCTAACTTTTCACCGTCTTCTTGAATCCAAACATGTAAAAACCCCCTGGTCCCCTCAGGACCACCACCAGGCATGAACCAACTGGGACCATCACAACCCTCAAATTGGGTTTTACTACCGGCACCGGTAGTAAAATAGGCCACATGAGAAGTTGAATTAACTTCTTGATATTCAAGTTTATGAACATGACCGGCAAGATAAGCAGCCACATTATATTTTTCAAAAAGAGGGGGTAATCTAGACATATAATAAATTGAAGAGCAATTACCGGATATTAATGGATGATGACCAACAACAAAAATCCATTTAGAATCTTGAACATTTTTAAGTTGTTGTTCTATCCATTTTATCTTTGATTCAATTGCATCAGGAGTATTTAAACCTAATGCTAACAAAGTCGCTTTTAAATTATCAACATTTGTTAAACTATCATAAGGGTAATATAGAGGATCTGTGTCGATATGAATAAATGATGCTTTAATTTTTTTAGATCCGAATGTTACTGTACGTACGTAATAGAGTGATGGAAGGAAGAATCTTTGGTCTATTTCCCAAAAGTAGTCAACTTCTGCTGTTACGTTTGTATACCTATTATGTATTTAAAAAGTTGAAATCAATTTTCAGTCATGGTAAATTTTTTTTTTTCTGGATTAGACTGCGTAGAAAATTGAAAAAAATGAGTTAACAAACCAATCATGATTTCCTGCAACAGTATACCAAACAAGATCCTTTAATTTACCACCGTAAACATCAAGCCAACTAGTCTTCCATTTAGGATCATAAATTGAATCAACTCCTTCGTGATCTGTTGAATTACTTGTATAAAAATTATCTTTTCAACAAAAAATATATAGAATATACGTTATATTTTTTAATTTTGTATATAAAGTTAAGATCTCACAAAAACTAGATTTTGAATGATCAGATAAAATACCACCAAGAGAAAGAATAAACGTAGTATTATTATTATCTGCCCAGGTTTTCATAGCTGATGCAACAACTGATTGCCTAGAGTCAGATCCTTGATATCCCCAATCACCAAATACTAGGAAATCCAATTTATCAATTCCTGGATAAGTTTCTTCAAAAGTTGTTGGATATGGATCTGCAATACTAGCATTTGGCCTTGTATAGTTTCCATGACAATTTATTATTAAGAAACATATCTGGACAAAAATTAAATAAATTCCTTTCTTTAAGTTTTTCATTTTTTGACAAATTGTGATGAGAAATTCAAATAAATTTATTAAAAGATAAAACGTTTATAAAACGATTCCTTTGGCGAAGAAAATATATATATGGTATTATGCGCATGTATTTGTGCAACGACATAATTAAAAAATCCCCATTTAAGAGTTATAGTTTTCGTGCTACAAATTTATATGCATCAATTCAATCGAATCGCATAATTGAATTTCAATCCCTACATATATCACTAATTAGATATATAAAGTATTTTTCTACTGACCGCTATTATTTTCCTGGAATAAAAGTTTTCTCAATTAACAAATAGAATAAAATGTGTAATCTTTACATTAATCCTTGTTTATTTATATCATTTTACCAGGAAGCAGGTTTTGAATTCAGTTTGAACGTTATCTGGCCAGATTGGAAATTCGTACCCATACCCCTTATCGCTATGTACGCAACACAACTACCCCGGTGGCACAGATAGATTTTCACTGCTCGACAATTTTTTTAAAGCATAAAATGGTACATTAGGGTCAGGTTAATAATTATAACGATACTTATACTAAAATTTTGCAATGAATTTTTTTTATTAATGCGCAGAAGATGGTTACATAGACGAAATTTCGAGTTTTTTAAAAAAATGGTAGTTTTTGGTTTGATTTCACGTTGTATCTGACCTTATAATCTAATTAGGGTAGCTGCGCAGCGTGTGACGCGGCGCAGGACCAGTACGATCATGTACGCCGTTGTGAAAAGCTCAAGGAAATCAATTTACCTATTCTCTTTTTTTTTTGCTTTCTTCTATTATTAGTTTCTAGTTTTTTTTTTGCTTTAGTAGAATTAGACTCCATAACTTCTCCAACGCAACCTATACTTTCTCAATAATTTTTACCAAGTAAATTAAATCAGATAATAACTATATTACCGATTCTCCGTAACTATAATTATGAAGATAATGAAAATAATAAGTAGTGAAAAATGAAACTCAAGCTCAAAAAAGAAACAAAAAGTAAAATTTCACAGCAAGTTTTTTAAAACTTGCACTAACCCTTATTCGACCTAACCCTAACGATTATAAGATCCACCTAATTTTACTGACACTCATTTCGTAGACACAATACTCTATTAACAATCAATTTACCGACATGTTCATTTCACCAACAAGCTTAATTCACCGACATTCAATTCATTGACAAGTTAAATTCACTAACCTTAACCATAATTCTGGTATAATTACTTTGTCGGTAAATTGATTGTCAGTGAATCGAATGTCAGTGAATGAGCTTGTCGGTGAATTATGGCTGCTTTCATAAATTTTGGACACCTAAAAATTTTCTTGTTTACCGAAACCTTTTCGATCCTGTTTTAAGAATTATTTAACTTTTCGAAAACTACTTCGCTGACCTTGAGATTTCACTATGGAGACAGCGAAGTGGTTTCCGAAAAGTTAGATGATTCTTAGAACAGGATCGAAAAGGTTTCAGGAAACACAAAAATTTTTAGGTGTCTCAGAATTTATGAAAACAGCTGTAAGTGTCGGGTTAATGGATATGTCGATGAATTGATTTTTGATAAATGTTGTGTTTACAACGAGTATCAGTGAAATGAACAGAACCACAACGACTGGAATCACTTTGTGAAATAACCGATGGTAAATTAAATTTTGTCAATAGCGTTAAAATTTGTTGAGATGTCAGCTTTGCATCATAATTGAGTGATCTACATGCGGAATTATGTCATACCGTATGTAAAAATCTTAACTCCTTCTGAAGATGGATAAATGAAAATCAATAATCCTACTAAATTAGGATTTTTTTTCAATTCAGCATAGGCCACAGCAAAAAACATGAATCAAACCATCCCTCACACATTTCATGTGATCGTACTGGTATTGGTCAATCTCTGTCGATCAGTGAAAATCTGTCGCAACAAAACACATGCATTTTGTGCTTTAATTCATTGGTAAAGTACTGTATAATGACGTTGGTATTTGTACGTACCTACGTAATTTGATATGCGTGCGTATAACAACAAAGCAACAACAAAGTAACAACAAAGTTTTTATTTGTCCTGAAATACTATGCATAAAATTTAATATTGAGTAATGAAATTTTTTGAGGTGCAAGATATTAATGTCAAAAGTTGTTAATAATAGTATATGTAAATTTAGTAGGTTATAGATTTATACAGAGGTCCGAAATCTCAGCGGCATCCATGATAAAATTAATTTACTTATTGTTTTTTTCATTGCTTCATATGAGGGATTCACTGTATTTTCAGCTTTATTTAAAAGACTAAACCTTTAAGTTTAACCCTGCTGGTGTATTTACAAGATGATATTAATTCAATTTGTTAGCTTCATTCCAAATTACAAAACAACATGTATTTCATTATTTTATCTTACAATAATCTTCCAATTTCTTTGTACTTCTTTATGAATTATTTTTTCAATTAACCCACTCTATATTTATTTAAAATATTTCACACGTTTCAAGCAACGTAAAGGTTGTTTCGTAATGATTTACTATTATTTCACTGCTTAATTTAATTTTTAATTATTATTGAGATCTGCAAGTGAATGAATGGGTATTATTGGGTCTATTTTAATTGTTTATTTAAATATACAAGTGATTTTCGTGTCTGACGATGACTTACTGTGTGTACACAATCAATAGATTTACAAACATAGTGCAGGTCATATAGTCAATTCTTGTAATACATTTTTTTAATAAATCAACGAGTGATAGTAAAATATATAATAAAATTCAAACCGCAATAACTCTTGAGCTAGCAAACCCACACAAATAAAATTATACTTGTAGGGTTTGTTTTAACATGTTTTTTAAGGTAATAACGCTCTTTTTTTTTTGTTTCTTATCAAATATCCGATATATTTTATCTTAATCTGAAACCGCTATAAGGAATTTGTTGTGTTTTACAACATGCAATGGTGAAACAGAAATTTTAGTTTTACGTTTTTGATTCTTTTTATTAAAAATGAATCAAAAACGAGAAGTTTGCATAAAAATTAGTAGTCTTCCGCAACACTCTAGACAATAAAGATAATATAAATTAGCGTTTTAACTTTAAAGAGCATGTTAAAATGAACTTAGCGAATGTAATTTTATTTGTGTGGGTTTTCTAGTTAGAGTTATTGCGGCTTGAATTTTATTATATATTTTACTATCACTCTCGTTGATTTATTAAAAAACTGTATTACATGAATTGACTATATGATCTGCACCATGTTTGTAAATCTACTGAATGTGTACACCCCAATGGCTTACATTAAAACTAGGGCAGGAATTTTGTCACTCACTTGAATAGGATGAAGGTTACATACTACTATTTACGACTGTACAAATATGGGAGGTGCCTCGCTGACACGTGATTTCCAGCTTTTCGCTAGAATCGACTACCTGTTAAATGCTTAAAGAAGTCTTAGACTGGAGATTAGTAGAGAAAATAGACTCCTAGTGCGAATACTGTAAATGACGATAATTCACATCTAATGACTTGATCCTTAATTTGCATTCGACTTGTGCAGTCGAGCTGCTAAACCCTCGAAATAATGGTAACTCAATCCTAATGATTTGACCTACAATTGCATCTGACTTGTGCAGTCAAGCTACTAAACCTGGAAAATAGTCAGGCAAATACTGCTATCTTGATTTTGCATCCGACTTGTACAGTCGGGCTGTCACAAAGTCTTACCATTCAACTGGTGGGCAATCTGCTACTGATCCTTACTTAAACTATTAGACTACTAAACATTAGACCAGGGGTCATAGCGGTTAGGGGTGAGGGGGGTGGGAGGCTGACCAAGCTAGACTTATTTGTCGAGCGCAGCGAAGCAAAAAAGACAACAAACTGATTAAACGCGACTGCTATAAATACTAATACATAAAATACGTAATGTGTAACCTTAACCTATCAGTGTGTTACCACATATGCATCACAACTAATCAAACTATATGATGTATTTTGTATGTCACTGATTGTGGTAATTAACTGGTTCGTGACAAAAGGGCTACTCGTGACTTTGTCTCGAGTAGCCTCCAGATGTATAGAATTTATTGTGATCTGCAATCGCTTCTTCATATCTGCTAATCATCTCATGCATTCACATTATTTGGATGGATTTTTAATAACATATTTGTCATTAAATGATTCTTCATACCTACCCATTACATGTAAATTAATATATGCCTATTTAATGTCAACATAAAATTCAGTTTAATTATTAGAATTTTGGTTAGGATTGTTAACAAATGAGTTTATTTTAATCCGATTTCACTATCATTATTGTTATGATTTGTAAAACTAATTACAGCAGAAAATATATTGTTGATTATATTTAGTTACAGTAAATGCTTTCCATATAAAATTTATGCCAATCTCGATATATTTAAACATGGTGTGGTTATCTATCTGAAACAATCACTTTAGAAATTTGAGCTTATAAATCAAATATTCATGCATTAATTCCGGTTAGATGATACCTTAGATAACTAAAACGGCTACTTCAATTGGGGTTAAACCCCCAACCTAAAAATTTTCAAATCATGTGATTTACATTATTCACATATTCAAAAAATTAACGCTTTTACTATTTTTTATGATAAATTTTATTAATAAGCATCAATAATTGATATCGCGATTATTAAGTACATGATCCTATTTTTAGGGGTGGTATTATCGTAATTGAAGTTATCCCTTTAGGCGCTTTAAGTTGCAATTTCAAGCAAATACTAACATCAAGCACAACAGTATTACGACCTGGAGATCTAATCCACCCGACGCCGAGTTAACACAGGGCCGCAAACATGAATATTAGTTGCAGGTGGTAGGTGTATATATTACCGAATGTAAGTATATATTTCAATAAGATTTAGTAATATTCATTTGATAAATTATAATTTTATAATGAATTAATTTAATGCTCTAATCGATTATATAAATTATAGTATGTGAGTATAAATTTCAATAATATTTATTTGTTGAGTTAATATTACAATCGGTTACATCAAATTATAAATTATACTAATTATATAAATTATCAGAAAGTAAGTATAAATTCAGTTTAATTCTATGATATGCTTTAGCTGATTAAAATCGTTGAGTATATATATTGTACAGCGTGGATGTACCATAACGTATTTAATGAATGACTTGGGATTATTAAAAGATGGAAAATCTCTAAATAAATTTCTCCAGTATCACCACCAAAAAGTGACTATCACGTAATGCAGCGCGATCGGAAAATCCAATGCAAACATTTGGGTTGTCAAATCTCTAATTTGTCAAAATTTGCATAAGATACTAGCTTTTGTGCACTAATAAAAGTTTCCTTGAGCATTTTTGTTCTATACTTTGCTAATCTCTAATCCTAATATAAACACTAATCTAGTGATCGGAACCGGCTAGGTATCAATTGGTCAACCATGATTGGGTGGTGACCCAGTACTAACAACCTTAGCCTAAGTTAAGGTTTCAGGGTCACAGGTTGCCTCTGACAATATTTGAATGGCATCATACAACGAATGATGATCCCCTTGCATAAGTCTGTAAATGTATATGCGCAAAGCCTCTGTTGAACGATTTTGCTGTAGATCTTGGACTAAGTCCCCTTCCCGATTTGGCTTGACATATGTCAAGATAATATTACCTTGTCGAGTTAAGTGTGTGGCCATGGTACTATAGCACGATTGCGTTAATGGGAGGAAAAATGTTAAAGTAACGAAATGGTGCAAACATTTTCCTTCAAATTTTCTTCCTGTAAAAATGTATAAAAAGCTTTTTAGCATTAGAAGAAAATGTAACAAGTAATACTAGACATTACCTAAAATAACCCTCAATAAAATCCATTCTGACCCTCGTAATGCACATCGTTCCTGTGCAACGTACTCAACTCCAGCCTTAGACCGCCAAATCGAATACACTTCTATCGTTGAGTATTGTTATGCAATGTCTTCTTTTGTCGGTTGTGTGTTGGGGTTTTTACCTCTGACAATATGTAATAAATATATTTTTTTCATCAGCAAATTAGATTAAAGAAACTTAATAGAATAATACATAATAGTAAAGAATATATTATCTCAGGTGCTTGCTTAATGAGTATTCTTTGTTATTTATATAGTAAATTAATGCAAGCAAAAATAAATTTATAGTAAATAATTTTATGAATAATAATTATTTGCAAGCTTAAATGGATTCATTCATTTCATCGACAACTAATTCACCGAAAGTATGCTTCACCGACAAGTTCATTTCACTGATAGTACAGTCATTTCATTGACAAAGGAATTCTGATCATTGCCGTTAGGGTCAGGTTAGAATTAGAGTTAAGGTTAGTGTAATTTATAAAAAAATCTTGTCGGTGAATCGATTTTCGCTAACAGAAGAAACCGTCAATGTTACCCAATAATCCTTCACACAATGTAGCTAATTAATAATAAAATTATTTATTTTGAGTTTACTCTAAAATGTATGTTATGGATATATCCCTCACTCGCGGGGTGATCAGTTAAACTGAAATTATTTATATGTAACTTCAAGTGTGATGGATATAATCACTCATTTGGTGTAACATTAACGGTTCCTCCTGTTATTTTCGGTGGAATGAACCGAAACAAGCTTAACCAGCTTTTCTTAAATACCTTTTAATAGTTGGTCAATGAAAATTACTTTTATTGCCTATTAAATTGAACAAACAAATAAATAAGAGTAATTATTATAATAAATATAGATTATCTCAGATACCTTGATTAATAACTATTTTTTGACTTATCTAATAAATTAATGCAAGTCAAAAAGAATAATCTTTGATGATGAACTTGACGTGACAATAAAAATTTATAAATTGCATTAAGTTTTATAACACTGATTTAAACAAGCAAAATGTCATTTCAAGAAAGTCTTTTGGGTTAAAACTTTTGTTATATGAAAACTTATGAATTAATAATAATCTGACTAACCAAAGCTTTAAATATTAGACTATGCAAAACTGAAAAAATTGGCTTTATGTGGCTACAGGCATTATTATTCTAGTATAATACAATACTGAACAACCAATAAATATAAAATTTTTTAGAAGTTGTTTAATATCTAATAACTTTAAAATAAATAATTATTTAAAAATCACACAAATTTATTATTTATAAACTAACAACAAATCTGTGAGACAGATACGTATTTAATCTATTGCTTTTTACAAAAGTTATAAGGGATCAAGGTTTGGTAATTTTTTTAATAATAAATCGGAAATTTGGCGCAAAGAAATTAACCAATCATATTAACGCTAGTCACGTACTAATGATTTTATTGGTTGATGCTCATTATTAAAAATTTGCCATTTAATGTATGGGGTGTTTCAACCCTTTTTGAATAGATATATATTCAATAAAAAAGTTTGTTATAACAGATATTAATTATTAATAAAAAGATCCACAAAATGAACCTAAGTAAAAAATTATATATCGAGATATATTTCTTTTTTGGATCATTTAAGCCGAAATTTGTAAAATTCCTATATAAAAAATATAAAAAAAAGTGGATGTTTTTTTGCTGTCCAGTACTGTAGAAATTTACCTATAACATGCATATAAAAATCCTAAAAAAGTCAACATTTATCATACGTATAATAGAATAACGTCAATTAAACTAAGTTGATTCTTTTACAATAGAGTTAAACAAAATTAATTCGTTTGCTAAATCAGAGTAAATTTTATCGGAATAAATTTCATCGGAATAAATTTCATCGGAATTAATTTCACCAGAATAAGCTTCATCAGGATAAATATTTTCACCGGCCTTTATTTGGTTTATTATTTGCATCAATCTTTCATGAGATTTGGACAATTCTACTAAGGTTTGTTCATCATTTTGCCATTTTGTAAAAACTTCTACGATATCGTTTGCGGATGGACGTTTTTCCGGTTCTTCGTTCCAACATTGTTTCATTAAGTTAACATAACACGTTTCTGTACGGTAAAAAATTGGAGGCCTTAATTTATCGAGTGTTATTCTCTTTTGTAAATGTGAACCATATGCTTCATTATAAAATGTAATAACTGATACTCCATGTAAAATTTCCCACATAATTACGCCAAGTGAATAAACATCAGATGCTTCAGTATATTTCCTATTTTTAACTTCTGGATTAATAACTTCTGGTGCTATATATGGTAAAATTCCGCAAACTTCATTAGACTCAATCATTGAATCTATGTTAATTGGCTTTGCAAGTCCTAAGTCTGCAATATATCCACTGTTATAGCTAGACAGTAAAATATTGCCACTATGTAAATCTCGGTGAATAAGTCCTTGTGAATGAATTATTTGAAGATCAGTAGCAATACAATGTAATAATTTTAATTTATGTTTACAATCCAATTGCCTTACAGAGACAAGATTGTTACGCAAAGAACCCACAGGTGCGAATTGCATAACAAGAATATAATCCATAGAAATAATATCTTTTGATATTCCATGACATCTTAAAAATGATGGATTTTTATTACCAATATCACAATATGCTTTTAACTTTAGTAATAAAAAGAAATTGTTAAATATAAATTTAAAATTTCAAAGATAATTGTATGTAAATCTATTTACCTCTTTTACAAATTCTTCATGATTCTCCTTTGACTTGTGAACCAATTTAAGTGCAACAGGAATTCTCAAGCCTCGGTTATGATCCATCCAGTCAGCAGAATAAACCGTTGCAAATCCACCTTTACCTATATATTGAATATTTTCAAATTCATTATAAGGAATCCATGACAGTGGAAATTCATTTTCAGCTAGTATTTTTTAAAAATTATCATCAACATATAAATTTTCATATGTTTGTCTGTCTGTTGCTAAAAAAGTTAAATCGCCATATTTTAGATCATTTGACAATATATACAATAAATTCTGTATAACTTAAACAACAACTAACCATCTAATATTTGTTTCCGTTCTCTAAATAATTTTTTTAAATTTATAGTTATTGAAAGTAAATTTATTATCTATATTACAATAGTATAAAATGACTTACATCTGATACCATTCATTGGCCTTTTGTACGTCTCTTGTTATCCCAATTCCATCTCTATAACATTGCGCAACACTACGTATTCCATAGGCGAATCCCATTTCTACTGATTTTTGAAAATAAATGGATCCCTTATATTCATCTTTTTCAACACCAATTCCATTAAGATAACAATATCCAACATTATAAGCTCCACCAGCATTCCCCATCTCTGCTGATTTTAGATAATAAATAAATACTTTATTTTCATCCTTTTCAACTCCGGTTCCTTTTTCATAACAATATCCAACTCTAAATATTCCATTCGAATCACACATATCAGCAGATTTTTGATAATAAATGAATGCCTTATGTTCATCCCTTTCAACTCCAATTCCATAAAGATAATAATTTCCTACATTATATGTCCCTCTAGCATCCCCCATCTCTGCTGATGTTTGATAATAAATAAATGCCTTATGTTCATCCTTTTCAACTCCAATTCCATCTTTATAGCAGTCACCAAGATTACGCATTCCGCCAGCGTTCCCTATCTCTGCAGATTTTTGATAATAAATGAATGCCTTACGTTCATTCTTATCAACCCCAATTCCATCTTTATAGCAGTTACCAAGATTACACATTCCGCTAGCGTCCCCTATCTCTGCAGATTTTTGAAAATAAATGAATGCCTTATGTTCATCCTTTTCAACCCCTGTTCCGTTAAGATAATAATATCCAACATTATTATATATTTCAAATACGTCCCCCATCTCTGCTGATTTTTGAAAACAAATAAATGCCTTATGTTCGTCTTTTTCAATCCCTATCCCAATTTTATAGCAGTTACCAAGATTACGCATGCCATTAACGTCCCCTATCTCTGCAGAGTTTTGATAATAAATGAATGCCTTATATTCATCCATTTCAACTCCAATTCCATCTTTATAGCAGTTACCAAGATAACACATTCCACTGGCGTCCCCTAGATCTGCAGATGTTTGAAAATAAATGAATGCCTTATGTTCATTCTTTTCAACTCCAATTCCATCTTTATAGCAGTTACCAAGAATACACATTCCGCTAGTATCACCCATCTCTGCAGAGTTTTGATAACAAATAAATGCCTTATGTTCATCCTTTTCAACCCCAATTCCATTAAGATAACAATTTCCAACATTAAATATTCCTCTAACATCTCCCATCTCTGCAGATTTTTGATAATAAATGAATGCCTTATGTTCGTCCTTTTCAACTCCAATTCCATAAAAATAACAATCTCCAACGCAAAATATCCCTCTAACATCTCCCATCTCTGCTGATTGTTGATAATAAATAAATGCATTATGTTCATCCCTTTCAACTCCCATTCCGCTTCGATAACAGTCACCAATATCAAATATTCCTCCAACATCATTCATATCAGCGGATTTTTGATAATAAATGAACGCCTTATGTTCATCCTTTTCAACTCCAACACCATTCTTATAGCAGTTACCTAGGTTGCGCATTCCATTAGCATTTCCCATCTCTGCTGACTTTTGGTAATAAAAGAACGCTTTATGTTCATCTTTTCCAACTCCTATTCCGTTTCGATAACAGTCACCAAGAATAAATATTCCACTAGCATCACCCATATCAGCAGATTTTTGATAATAAATGAATGCTTTATATTCATCCTTTTTAACTCCAATTCCATTTTGGTAACAATTTCCAACTAAAAATATTTCATGAGAATCTTCAGTTTTATAAGCCATTTGAGCAGTAAGTGATATATCGGACTCCTTATGGTCATCTTTGATTATATCTCGAGAATATTTTTGAATAGTATTACCCATTTAATGAAATATTATTCTAAACTTTTTGCGGTCAATATTTTGAATAGGGTAATTTACGTGTTGTAAAAGTCCACAATTCTGGAGAGGAGTTATAGAAGATCAGTATGGTATGGGAACAAAAATTAAAATTTTGTTCTGCTCATTTCACTGACAGTCATTTCACTTATAGTTTATTTAGCTGACATAATATTAGGTAAGGTTTGACATTTGATTAATTGCTGGTATATATTTTTAGTAAATTTTCACTTGGTGTGATGTCGGCTAAATGAACTGTCGGTAAAATGATTGTCAATAAAGTGAGGTGGATGCAACCAGAATTACATGGTATGGTGTGGGGTGCACAATACCTATTTTAAAAACCATACTATGCCAATCTCCTAATACTAAGCGCCGGATCAGTATGATACGGCTTTTAAAATAGGAAATTGACTAGGAAAACTTGCTTCAAATGATGGTTTTCTTCATCCATTCCTCAAATAAATATTTTATATCGCCTTATCAGACAGATCAAATAACCCATACCATACAGATATTCACATTATCTTTCTTAAGATAGTTTAAAGCCAAATAGTATTTATGCTTTTCACGTGATTGTAGATTTATAAATCAATTGATAATTGTTAATGATGCGCAACACACTCGTGATTCGCACATGTTGTGTGGGCAGAATAAAAATCAACAGATTTCTCAAATTTCTCTTACAGTAGCATGAACATGGAAGGTTGGTTTAATTGGTTGTTGATCTAGGTTATCAGATTGATCATGATTGGCTGGTAGATCAATGCCTTATAATTAGTGCTCCGATCAGGTTGACCCGAATGACCCGATTATAATAAATTTATGGGTTTTTTAATATAGTGCATATGCACAGCAGTGCACCCCATAGTCACGTGATATGAAATCATATACAACACTAATATATAACATATACTATAATATTTATACTAAATATATATATATAAAAATTAAATATTTATCTAATTCAAAAAACAATAGTAAACTCACCCTAATCCTAACTATTACAAAGGATTTAATTAAAAAGATAGCCAACAATTTGTAGTACATATTGCCCAATGCATTTAAAATGCTAGTTTAAAAAATTTCATAGATTATGTAAAATATGCACAGTTTAAACATAAGTTAAAAGTTTAATAAAAAATACTTCTATTCGAAAATGAACTTTCTGTTATCTTTTGTTTCACAAAAGATAGTTGATGCCTTCGCTATGGCTGTCACCTCTTCTGCAGCATTTGTTTTACTAAATCTAAAGAAAAAATATTTAATTTGTTTACCCTAATCCTAACTCTAAACCTAATCAAGGACTTTAATTTAATCTGATGATAGATATTAATTATATGTATGTCATTATTATATTTTATAAGATTACAAAAATACTATTCTTGATAGATCAGCAGTACTGTTATTGATGGAGTTATATTAAAAAAGTATACAGTATATCAAAAACAATATTGATGATCTATTGAAAATGATATTTCTACTATAAGATTACATAATCTGTGAAAGTTTTTTTTGCATCTCTATAATTGGTTACAAAAATAACTCAAAATATGTATATATATCAGTATATACATACCTGATACTTACTAAGGATGTATATATGTATATACATATTGCTTTTGTAGTCAAGATTTATTATTACATATTACTGCATTATACTATCAAATTAAACCTGTAAAGGATTATCATTATGTTGTTAATAAAGCAAATAAATTGTATATAGCAGTATATTTAAACTAGTTCCAAACTTATGCTCTATTTACTAATTAATGCCTTTTTACAAACATGTTGTGACATTATAATTTGGATTCTTATAATAGTTACAATAATTGTGCTTTTGTTTGTTAGATGAGCCTTATGTATTCTTAGATTTTTACTAATATTGCTTATTAGTCAAAGTTCTTGTATTCTTTGGTTTTTGACTTTGGTTATTATTATAATGTGTAAATGCCTTCAGTCTATATCTAGTAGCAACCTTTAATGGGTTTCTAAGTTTAAAGACTGACATTCTTTTTACTTGACTTATCATTTAACTCATTACTTAACTCATCACTTTCTAAATTGAACATTTGAATTCAGGTAAACTTTTTTCATATTTATACACATTAGATAAATAAGTCTTAACTATATTAACAAACTCATTATCTTGATATAGTAGACATTTATTTATTGCTTTATGTATGAGCACTCATACTTCTCTATAAAACAT